ATGTTAGCTCCAGTTTTGACCACTTGGAGTGGTAGGCCTGCCTTTCTAAGTAATTGTTTTAGGCTACTTTTTTTTTTTTTTTTACCGTATTTTTCATGTAATCCTCGATAAAACCTTCTAGATTGTTCATGCAGAAAGATCTTTTTGTAAAGCTCTTTACTCAGTGGGAGTAGTCAGCAAATATGGCAGTTGTTTCTTGTTTTTATTTCTTTTAGGCGTAATTTTTTTCAGGCTTTGGTCCTGCTGGCTTGTGGTAGTATGCGTGACTTTCTTCATGTCATCTTTGTCTATTTTTTTGAATAAGTTTTTCATACCAACAGCTGGGGTGATACCATACAGCTCATAGAGAGAATCTCAGGCTTCATTATTTTCCTACAATCACCATGTGAGCTTTTGAACCTCTGTAAGTCAGAGCTTTGGGGAGAATTAGAAACTAAAATGAAGGGCAAGTTTCTGGAATTTAGATCAAAGAAGATATTATCCTGGTAGACTTGCTCTATATGAGTTAGAGATAGCCACAGGGCTTCGCATCGTTGACTGGCTTGACAACTAGAATTCTTCACACTCTTCAATGATACTTTATTTTTACTGGTGTATGTTATTATTAAAGCATTGAGCACCAAGGAGGAATACTATGCTAATTTCTAAAACAGAGTTCTGGTGGTACTCATGCTGTGAAGAAAAACCAATCTACATAAATATGTTGAACATATATTCAGTGATCCATTTTGGTTGATCCAACAAACATTTACTCAGCCCATTGTAAACGAATATAAAATGGAGGTCCATTAAATCTTATTTCTATCCTAAGGTGGAAAATTCACACATTTTGTGAGATATGAACAACTTATTGAGTAAGGTATTTTCATCTCCATTTTACACATGAAGAATTCAGGCTACCAATTTCTAGGATCATATAGCTACAAAGTGGCCCAACTGGGATTTGACCCCCAAGCACAGGAACTCAAATCCTGTGCTTTTAGCCACTGGAATTCCCCATGTGTGATTTTCTCCCCATATCTACCATTTCTCCAACACCAGCTGGATGTCCTACAATTCAGTTCGGTTCTGACACTGTTTAGTTAGTGTCAGATCCTACAAATTAAGGACTCAGTCCCAGGAGACTGTCTTCACTTCAGATGACAATTCCAAGTCTCAAGTTGTCACTTGTACTTCCATCTGACTTGCCTATAAACTGGATTTCTACCACTCCTTGCTCAGGTTCAATAAATTGCCTTGAACAGCCCACAGAACTCATGAGAACACTTACTTACTGTTTATTATATAATAAAGAATATGATAGTGGATGCAAATGTACAGGCAGATGAAGAGATATATAGACTGAGATCAGGATTCTAAGTGTTGGAGCTTCTGTCCCTGTAGGGTTGGGGGCCACCCCCCTCCTAGCTTATGATAGATTTACCAATCCAGAAGCTCTTTGAACCCTGTAGTTCAGGGGTATTTATGAAGGATTCATCATATAGGCATAATCAATTATTAACTCAATCTCTAACTGTTCTCCCCTCCCCAGAGGATAGGGACTGGGGCTCAAAGTTCCAAGCTTTTGATTATGGCTTGATCTTTCTGGTGACCAGCTCCTATCCTACAGCTATCCAGGAACCCACCAAAGTTGTCTTCTTAGAATATAAGATGCTCCTATCACTCAGGAATTCCAAGGGATTTAGGAGCTGTGTGTCAGAAACTAGGGTCAAAGACTCAAATAGTAAAACAGTGCAGTAAAGGTGCAGTAAAACAGCACCTTTATTGATTAGGAAGTTACAAATGGTTTAGGAGCTATTGGTAGGAGCCAAGGACAAAGACCAAAATATGTCTTATATCACAATCTTATATGTTCTGAGACTCTCTGTGCCGCCCCCCCCCCCTGCCCCACCACAAGGCTCTTACCCCCAGCCTTAGTTCCTATTATGTTTAAAATAGCCTATAGCATTTGGTCACTTGTATTATATTTTTTTTCTGACAAGCCATGTAGTTGGGACTTCAGTATACTTGTTGATTGATTAAGATCATTTATTTCATCATGATGCATATGTCCTTGCATTTCAAGACCATGTGTGGATTTAAGCAATCTGGAATTTCTTCAGAAAAGTACAGGTGCAGTTTTATGAAACACAGTTTGATTTATATCTCCCCTGTGCCATTTTGTGCCACTAGCTCTTTTCCGCTCCATACTCCAGTCACACAGGCTCTAAACACAGGCTGTAATAAGACATCTTGTTAAATATGCCTTGCAACAGAAAGGTAATGCACATTCCCTATTCTTTCATCCTGAAGGAATTTACAATACTGGGGAGGATTGAAAGCAGGGAGTTAGTTAAGTTCTGTGATTAGGGAATAGCAGTTCAAGTTGGAAAGATCTAGGTTTTTGTTTGGTTTTGTTTTGAGAGAGAGAGAGAGAGAGAGAGAGAGAGAGAAGGTGTGTGCAAGCTGGGGGGGGGGGGGGCAGAGGATGGGGGAGAGAGTATCTTAGGCAGGCTCCACAGTCAGTGCAGAGCCCCATGTGGGGCTGAGATTGTGACCTGAGCTGAAATCAAGAGTCGGATGCTTAACTGACTGAGCCACCGAGGTGCCCCAAAAGATTTAGGTTCTAATCCTGGCTGCACGCCTTCCTGACACTTCCTACGTCTCTTTCAGGGTCAGTCTTCTCATCTGTGTAATGGGGATAATAATAGCCTCTTCCTTACAGGTTGTGTGAGTATTAAATGAGATTAGGCATTTAAAGGGCTTGGTACATTAGCACTTGCTATTATTATGGGAAATGTAGTAGGGTCTCAGTACTGTCCTCCTGTGCTGAAATGGGGTCCCTTATTTTATCTCTATCATTTCTACTTCTTAGTATATGTGAATGCTATTGAATTTCAGGAGGAAATGTGAAAGGATTCTAATGAAGTGATTTACTTCTTTAGTGGGATACATGTTAAAAACATTCAAAGTTTGTGTTTCTTTTTATTCTAAAGAATGAAACCCAAATAAGGTTGGTCAAGTAGTGAAATCAAGCACACTTAATCATTGTTTTGTGAGTTTGTGCAAGTCATCTAACCTCTCTGGGCTTCAGCCTCCTCCTCTGCAAAATAAAGGAGTTAGACCAGATAATTGCATGATTTCTTTCCACCTAATTTGAGTCTATTAAGCACTGCCATAGATGTAATATTAACTAGATGCTATACAGTCATCTTTAATATACTTGAAGATAGTTATTAACTCATGCCTTAGCCTTTGTTATCAATCATAGGAAAGTTTGGGGAGTCTTTGTTTCTACTGTACATATTCTTAAACTGTGTAACGAGTTTCAGAGCCTCAAATTGTGGATGTGGGTAGTCTGGTGGCTCCATAATAGGGATTATCTTTTAGAGAAGGGCACCTTGCCTTCTATAAGTTGTCCCTGGAAAGACATCAAGCCCTGGGTAAGACATAGAGGGTCAGAGCCAGGAATACTGGGTCAAATTTGAGAAGTGAATCTTCCCCAGGATTGGGAACAGGACTTTATCGTTTACCTTTCATTCAGAAGTATAAGTGAACCATTTCCAAGGACAAATTGCTCCAAAGGGCAGAGGGATATGTCAGTACAAAAGGGTCACCAAGATCTGTTTTTTGAGACAAGTCAAATAGAGGACAAAGAGGGTCTGTCAGCAGACAAAATACTTCTGATCTGTCATTTATCAGATGAGGAGGAAGAGACATGAGGACTTCTTCCAATTATAGCTAGATCATCAGAGATGTTCACGGTAGCATTTTAAAATAGCAAAAAAACTGGTAACAACTCACAATTTATGATAAAATTATAGGATGGAATATTATATATCAATTAAAAGTTATGTTTATAAAGAATACTTAAATGTCATCAGAAAATGTTTAAGGTGTAACAGATGATAGTATATATCTATTGAAAAATACAAATAAAACATGATATTAAATATGTAAAAATCTTGACAGAAAAACAAATGGAAGGCAATGGGCCAGAATATTAACAAGGTTTATATCAGGGTGGTAAGATTATGGGGGAGCTTTAATAATTATTTTTAACATTTAAAAAGGTAAAGTGTATCTTCTAATAAATTTTCTATGTGAAATATATCCTACCTTAACAGTCAGAATAAAAACCCATGCAAGTTATCTTAAAAAAATACAGAACACCCCAAATTAGGGTAGTCATATAAAGCTTAGGTCATCAGGGAAGGAGAAAAAAATTACTAGGAAGGTTTTGAAGAAGCCGTTGAGTACAAGATCTTGACCTGGATACCAGATGAGGAGAGCAGGGTTGGTCCCACCAGTGGGATGACTCCATGCAGAAGCCCTGGCCCACCAAAGAGGGTGGCAGAGGTGTGGCTGCTGGCCTTGGGGAGCCTGCTATGGAGCCTGCATTCATGCCTCTTCCTTAACCTTGAACACTTCCTTGTCATGCTTTTGGACTCTCCCTTTGCTCAAGAAACCCCCTCCAGGTGCTCACTGGGTTGGCGCTTGCAGGTGGGGTGTGTTCCTCAAAGTTCCTGGAAGTGAGTTAGGGGAAGCTCAGTATAAACTAAGCAGCGTGTGCTAAAAGCTCCATAGGACTACCTATGTCTCACACAAAAGTTCAATTCCTAATATTTATAACTCCTCCCACATTGATGTGGACGTTTCCCAAATCCTCAATGTAATTCTTGTTGTCTTTTTGACACAGTCTCTCCCCATGCTATGAAAATCTCTCTTCTGTGACTGGCTTTCTTCCTCCTTTAGAAAACTTTGTTTGTCTGCCCTTAAATTCCTGCTCAATTTTAAGCCCCTATTTTCACAGCTCTGATACATGTGTATGGAGAATAATTCTCATGAGCCCATCATAGAGAACTGACATTCTTTTTCAGTGACAAGAAAAGCTTGTCTTTAAAAGAAGAAGAAAAGTCTAAAGTCATCAAAACAATGTAATATCCTGTGTGAAATGTTGCAGTCATGATGCCTTGTGGTTTGAGTCCCTTGATCATGTGCCCTGAGGGAAATAAGTTGGTGGTGGCTGTGGATGACGGAGACGCTCGGGGCTTTGGCAGGTGCATCTTCAATTTCCCTCACACTTTGGACTCCTCGGGGAGGAGGGGCTGGAGCCCTGGCCCACCATTAGCACAATGATCCTCAGGCTGCTTCTGGCTCTCAACTTCTTCCCCTCAATTCAAGTAACAGGTAAACATTTTTGATTCCTTTCCTTTTCTTAGTTTTTCTTTGCAAGTCTTTGGTTGGCTTGGATCATCTTAAATTTCAGATGACTTATGAAATGTGGACATTTGAAATGTAGCTTTGCTCTAACATGGCAGCCTGTTATTAAGAAACTCACTGATTCTCAGTCTACAGTATAATATTTTAACAAACATTCTTTGGAATTAAATAAGATTTATTTAGCTATTAATTGATAGTGTCCCAGGAAGCTATAAAAATTATGCTTTTTAAAAAACTTTAAGACAACAGCTATAAGTAGGTTGGTTCTGAAAGTTCTGGATTTAGACTGACAGGATTCACATCGCCAATCCATTTCTTACTAGCTAAGCTTAGACTAGTATGTGAACTTTCTAAGCCTCAGTTTTCTTCTCTATAAATTGGAGATGGTAATAACCTTATCTCAAGGTCATTGGGGGGATAAAATGAAACAATCTGTGTGAAATGCTTAGTACAGTCAGAGCTTGGCTTGCAAGATGAATGTTAGTTGTAGTTACGACGTCTACTCAAATTGAATTGAATGTGTCAAAATGAATTTTGGAGTCATTACAGAAGGTGGCACAATACAAATGCCAATAAATTACTTTCTTTTACAATTGGCTGAAATCTGTTATCTTAGATTAAAATCCCTTAAGTGCTAAATGATGATGAGGAGGACACACCTAACACCATTATAATGGAACTCCATTTCAGATGCAGAGACCAAGGGGTAGGGATGTTAATTTGTCCAAGGATATACAGATATTAGTTATGGGAGTCAGGGTCTGAACCACCTTAATCTAACTCTTCAGCCTATGCCCTTGACCATGACATTATTCCACCTAACGTGATATGGTTTATAATTTCATAGCTCCAGATACATCCAGGCTTAAACCGTCTTTGGAAAATCACAATTCCAAACAGAAAGACCTTGTTGCTTTGGTGGGCTGGAGACAGGTGTTTATTTAACTTGTTCCCAGAGTTAGAGAAGTGTCTCACTTGGCTCAAGATTTGTACTGATTAATGAGCACATTTAAATAAGAATAATAAGAATAAGAAAATCTTCAATTTTCTTTCTCATTTATTTTGGTGGGTGTGGAGACTGCATTATTTGCTATTATTCTTAACATCATGTGCATGGGCTCCAAAGGATATAATTTCCCAACCTGCACAAGTGAAATAGTTACATATACACCCATCTATTTTCTTGCCTTCTGTGCCAGTGAGCACATTTATAAACTGTGTGTATTTATAAAATGTACCCATTCAGTGAAAGACAGAAGCTGGTCAGCTAGGTTATGCCGCAGTATCTGGTGCCAAGCATTTAGAGCTACCAAATCTATTTTAAAAGAATCTTTAAAATTTATTTTAAAAAAGGTCTTTAAACTCTATTTTTAAGGGATCTTTAAAATTGATTTTTAAAGATATTTAAATTTCTTAATTGATTACACAATAAAGGATACACAGAATAGGCAGAAAGAAAGGAGAAGCTCATTCTCACAGAAACTATTTAAGTATCTGTACACAGAATACTTTCCTGATGTGCTCTGTGGACATCCATCTGTCGTCAACTCACTGAATCTCTTTTGAAGATGTTTTTGTAAGACGCAAGCTTTATATTTTTCCTTGAGAACACTTATTGAAAGGGGGGTAGCTAAAAACCCTGCTAAGGATACACACATGTGGGACCTTTGTTTTCTATTTTGAGATACGTCTACATTGTGAATGCCAACTCACCGCCGTAACGACTTTTAAGATTTGATGCTGAGTGGCCATCTAATGAAGTAGGAAAGGGGTAAAGAAGGCAATTTTGAAATGCTTCTCTCAGTAAGAAAACTTATGAGATAAAATAACTACAACATACAAAAAATGCATGATCCATTCTAATCAATGGTGTAAAACCTGCCATATGCTCTTTGTCTCTCTGTATTTGCCCTCCATGAAGAAATTATAGATAAGGTAAAATTCTCTGGTCACAGTGTAATTGTCCTTCCTAGCATTAAGAGAGATTTCTGGTATGTCTGTGTTGAGGTTTGTGTGTGTGTGTGTGTGTGTGTGTGTGTAGGAAGAACAGTATTACACTGTATATTAACTGGAATTTAAATAAAAACTTTTTTGACAAAGAGAAAAATAAAAAGGAAGAACAGTCCTTTTTCCCACTAATTAAAAAGTTCTAATTCACTGGCTTGCAACATAGCTTAAAATAATGCTTATTCTATGAAGGTTCAACCTAACCCGAGTCTTCATGATTTTAATGACGCTGTAGAAAGATTTTTATGGCTAATTTAGAGAGGTATAATTTAGGAAGCATGAGGAAATGTTCACTTAGACAATTCCTTTACTAAAGTTACATGTTTCCTACCAGATTTGAGTACTTGTGCAGTTGAGATCCACAAATTGAGAGGATTTTGTTGGATTTGCAGATATGAGTACAGCTTAGAACTGCAGTTCTTTGAAAGGGAACCAATTTGTGATTGATGATAGGAGGAGTGTGCGTATAATAGACAGCATTGTTCATAGATTTTTCAGCCCATATTGGTTATTTTTCAGCAAGGCTAATCATCCAGTATGAAGATAAAAATCAGGACAATGCCACTTATTTTTCCACGAGAGGATTTTTCATTTCTCCCCAAACCTCAGCAAATAAACTGTCAAAATGGCCAGTTCGAACGTGATTGATTTCTCCAATGCTCTGCATTTCCCTTGGCGTGCCCTTCTTTTTCTGAGAGAGGCACAGAAGGCAGGAAGATGGTTGGCATTTAATAAAAACTCATCAGCAAAGCAAGGTAATTAAAGACTTCATTCTTAGTTCAGCAAACGCCCCCTTTGAGGTAGTTGTTCATAATGGCAAGTAATTGACCTCTTACAGGGGAGCGTTGCCATGAGTCTGGGCTTAGAAAAATAAGAGAGAGAGAGAGAGGGAGAGAGATGAGCATTGAAAAGGCAATGTAATCAGCAAATTGCCATATCTGCAATGACATCCGCTGCATGGAAGACTGGTTTTTTTGACTGTTAAAAAATCAGCTGGGTGTTTTGTTATCTGAAGTAAATTCGATGGGCATTTCAAATGTATAGATATTGTTTAAGACAGAATATTACTTTCTATTTTTTTAAAGGCAAGAACTTTTATAGTAAGGACCGTAAAATCAATATCAATATATCAATATCAAGAAATAGAATGAGTCATTTTCACAGACTGATTAGAAAGAGAAATGAATCTGTGATCGTAGCTCTGAAGCTCTCACATTAAAACTTTTTTATGGGTGGGGGTGAGAGTCTCATTGTCTTTTCTTAAGACTTAAACTGTCCTCCCTTTTATTATTTTTATTTTTTTAAAGACTTTATTTATTCATTTGAGACACAGAGATCGAGAGAGAGAGAGAGAGAGAGAGAGAGAGAGAGAGAGCGAGCGCGCGCGCAGGAGCAGGGGGAGAGGGAGAAGCAGGCTCCCCACTGAGCCAGGAGCCCCATGAGGGGCTCTATCCCAGGACCCTGGGACCACGACCTGAGCCGAAGGCTGACGCTTAACCATCTGAGCCACCCAGGCGCCCCCTATCCTCCCTTTTAATGTCTTCATTCTATTTTCATGAGTGGACAAAAGCCACACGCCACATGACTACCATTCAGCTTTTACCATGTGTGGATATTTTCCTTCAAGTATTTCCCGTAGGCAGGGTGCTGACATTTACAAAATGAAAAGTTTTAGGCCACCGATATCCTAGAAGAAAATTCTGTTTGTGGTTTATCATCTCTAAAACAATAGCTCTTCATTAACTAGCCTAGGCAGCGATAGGAGACACGGTTGCAAACTTTCTTGTCCACAAAGCAGAGGGCAGGCCATATTTCAAAGCACATTATTTTGTAGCAGGTCACTGAAAAGGATAAAATCTGTCATTTTTCCCTTTCAACTTGGTTAAATTTTTGCTTGCCTTTTTCTTCAAGAAATTTGTTACTTATGGAACTTCAAAGAGGCCGGCACTGTTCTTCTCAGTAGATGGTTTAGCTGAACTTCTGGGAAAAAATGACATCTGGGTGGTTTTGTGACTGACTGACGGGGTCTCTGGTTTTTGAAGCTGTGTTAAGGAACCTGTGTCTCTTTTATGGTGATTTCTTGCCTCTTTTGGTCTTAACATGGCGTAGTCATAAAAAAAAAATGGTACCCAGAGTTTTCAGACTGAGAACTGTTGCATGAGAATGGGTCCCTGAAGCTGGAGGGAAGGTAACACAGGCTCCCTGGGGAAGTGGTTGCAAAGCAGGTGTCTAACTTCTTGCTTGTTACCCTCATTTTGATGACTCTGAACATCAGAAGAGAGGAGCACTGGATGGGGTCAAGGGCTACTTAGTCATTTGTTAAAGGATGTGAAAAAGAGAGTTTAGACTTCTTTGGCCTAGGTATTTCAATATTAAGGTCATAGGCATCTCGATTGAGTCTGTGTGTCACCATGCGGGTTATGTATGTTTATGTTTTCGGTGCTGGATGAAAACCTGCACTGTGGTGGAGAATTTCTTACTTAACCTTGAGCTGCAACTTTATCTCTGCATCACCATTACTGTCATCTTTTTCATTTGTCATCATCTTCATTATCTGTGGGACTCTGGTTGCCAAGGTAACTGTGTTAATGGTTCCTGATGGTATCAGAAATGTCATCCACTCATAGTTCACTCTGACCTCTGATCTAATCAGGGGCCCTTTTCTGCAGTAACTAAGTGAACTTGGTGGCTCACAATTCACCACGTAATGTATTGATTATGGCAGGAATTCCTGTTCATCACCCACTCATTCATACAAGAATCTGCATTATTGACATGTCTTACATTGTAACAGTGACATAGATTCCCTTGTTAGGAATGTAGGTGGGTGTTTGATTTTTTTTTTTTTTTATACTTTCTGAGAAGGTAGAGGGTTGTGCTTTTCATTGCTTAGGGATACTTTACAGATGATGAAGTGTCAGAACATTGCTGTGGCTGTGTCTGCAGCTTCCATGTAACCTGATGACTTTCTCTGATTTTGAACACTACTACTAATAAGACTACATAATTTAAGACCATCTTTAGGAATATTGGGTCCGGGAAGTTTCCATTTCTGATCCGCAGACTCTGTCCCATAGGCACTGGGTAAAAATGGGCACACGTGAGAAGAATGTTTCCTTTTACTGAAGCTTCCCAGGGGGTCTAAAACAGGGTGTTACTAGGTTACTGTTCTCTAAAATACTGGGTTCCTGTTTTATAAATTGCCTCCTTCTTCTTACACTTTAGCAAGACAGGTCTTCATTCATGTGCTCATTTGATAGGTATTTATTAACATCTTCTAGGTGCCATTCTAGGTTCTATGACTGATACAAGAACCCAGTTTGAGCTTCAAAGAAGTAAAAATGAGAATTGTGAGATCTTTCTAAATTTTTTTTCTTTCAGTTTAGCATCATTGTGAATGATTCTCTGTAGTAATTTATTTTATGGCAAACAGTTATAAGCAGCAGCACCCATAGAACTGGTGAGTTCAACCACAGACATGAGATGGACAAGAACTTAGGTATCTCTCAAGCTATTGAAAAGGAGGTTGTGTTGACAGCTCCTTGAAGATGCTAATAGAAAGGTGATTTTGCAGTGTTTCCTGGCATGTTTTGGATGATCTAAGGCTGAACCCCTCTTGCTTATCCAATCAATCTTCTTTCACACCCTAATATAAGATCCTCAAACCCCAAATTGCAGCTTTCTCCACAGTCTCACTTTCCTGCGCTCTGCGTTTATGACCTTTCTGATGCTATAGCCTTCCTGGAATTCCCTCTTTCCCCTTTTCACCTATCCAAATCCTGCTCATCTTTCGCTTTATGACTACAGTGCAAGATTCACCTCTTTTGAGGAAGCTCTCCCTGGGTATTCAGTCTTTATTATGGATTTGTAAGAGGAGTTCCAATGCGAGTATAACTCAATCTAACAAAGACTTGTTAAACCTCTGTTATATTTTAATCTCAATTGGAGTCTGAAGGAATATAAAAAGAGGAAAAGAAGTATAAGGACTGACTTGTGTAATTAACCAAGTTCTCTCTGCTTCCACAGACTTTTTGATCCAGTTGAGAAGACCTTACATGACACGATATAGCAGCGGGAAACAGATAACTAACTCTTGGCTACTTCCCCTGCTCTTTCATGGCTTAATGACTTTGCATACATTATGCTTGTAATCTGAAATGTCCCCTACACTCCTCACTTGAAGAAGTCTTCTCCCAGACCCTAAATGGCAAAGTGAAGGACTTCCTTCCTTCTCAGGGTTCCCAAAATTGTTATTGTGCATTGATGCTTCTGTTTCTTCCCCCCAGACTGTGAGCTCTTTGCAGGCAGGATTATGTCTTATTCATCATTATAACTTCACAGCACAGTGAAGTTATAACTTATTCCAGCACAGTGTTGGAAGCATTATAGGTGTTTAAAAAATATTTGTTGAGGAAGGAAATGAATGAGTTAGTACTAAAATGAGGAAGCATAACATCAATATTCTGGTAATATTAATATAGAATAGTAAGCATTTATGGGAATTGAATTGGACACTAAAGGTAGATATGATTTGAATGGATGATGTTATTAATAATAATTGCTAGCTAATACTTATTTTGCACTTATAATGTGCCAGGCACTGTTCTCCCCGGTTTTCCCTATATTAAATCATATATTCTTCCCTGAAATCCTTTGAAACGGTTGCTATGGTTATTTTATCTGCAAGATGAGGAAACTGAATGATGGAGCAAATAGAGCAACTTGCCTATGGTCACACAGCTAGTAAGTGAGTAAATCCAGACACTTGCTCCAGCATTCATGTTCTTACCAATTCCATGTTACTTCAGGAGGGAGAAGCAATACAAATAAAGAAATTAAACCAGGAATATTGTTCTGTGTTCTTGGCCAGAACTGAATGTGTGGAGGCGTGGAAAGGTAGGGTAGAATCAGGTCAAACCAAGGACTGAACACTGATACCCCAAGTTCGGACTTCATTTTCAAGGCATTGTGATGCAGCCGGAAGCTTTTGGAAGCAGGATGGTCTAGAATGTATAGAGACTAATGGCAAGGAGATCACGTTGTAACACTCTGCCACTTTGCCAGGAGGAGGGGTAGTAGATTAGAATTTGGGTAGCAAATGTGGGAACAGCAAGAAGTGACTATTTTGAAGGATTCTTGAAAAATAAAATTCCAGGATGTAGTACTTGGTTTGTGAAAGAGAGGGAGGGATCAAGAATGATGTCAAGGTTTTTGGCTTAATAGAGGAATGGTGGTATTACCACCTGAAATCAAGATGTTGTGCAACTGAGCTTTGGGGCAAAATAATGTTTAGTTTTAGACACATTGAATTTGAAGTAAAGGCTTGAAATGGCAGAAAAATGTCCAGCATAAACCTGAAGCTATGGGATCTGGGTAGAAGAAAATATCTAGGAATCCTCATCTTAGGAGGAAGGCTGATGTCATGGGAATGGATGGCTAGTAGAAATGAGAGAGTATAACTGTAGAAAAGCAGAGGGTTGAACTGAATCTGGAAAATTGCTCTGGTTAGGAGTCAGCTGAAGAGATGATGAAGCAGTGAAGGAGACAGAATGTGTTTAGAGAGATAAGAGGAGAAAGAGCCTTGATAGAACATCACTAAAGCCAAAGGAGGAAAGAATTTCAAAAAGAGACAGTGCTTAATGGCATTAATTATATAAGGGAAGAAGTGAATAGTGGTCTGGGAAGCCTATTGGTTTTGACTCAAAGGAGGCCAGTTGAGACTTTTGAGCTTAGACAGAATGGTGGGGAAAGAAGA